GATATTATAATATGATCTCATTACTGATAAACTTCAATCTAATTATTGTAATTCTTTAATGTACATAAATGTATTTTCGTAATTTAACACTATTCTTAATGCATGTAGAAACCTTACGAAAATATCCACCAGCGCCGTTTCTTCTGAGACAATCGACGTCAAGTTATACTTTCGACGGTGTGAACGTTAGTATACCGGAGGACCAAAAGGTATGGATTCCTACATACGCGATTCAGCGAGATCCGAGTATTTATCCGAAACCAGATGTCTTCGATCCAGAAAGATTTAATGAGGAAGCTGTACAGAGCAGGCACCCGATGGCTTATATACCTTTCGGCGACGGACCAAGGAATTGCATCGGTACAGTGAAATAAATTCAAGCATTGCTTTTTATTTCTTTTTCCAATGAAGAGTATGTTTAATTGAAAATCTTGATGTGACTGATATGACTTGCCGTTTTATTTTTAGGTTCTCGTTTCGCTATTTATCAGATTAAAATTGGGCTTATAAAAATCCTACGAAACTACAAAGTCGAGACCTGCGAGAAAACTCCAATACCCTACATAAGCGAACCTAAAGCTTTTTTTGTATTAACTCCAAAAAACGGAATACATTTGAAAATAATCAAAATTAATAGAAATTAATTTAAACTTTTTTGGACTTTTCTGAATGATATATATAAAAATGGTGAAGGAAGTCTTTGTCAAATAATATAATAATAACAGTTACTATTCCAACTAAAGTATAATACTTATTAATTTTACTGATATTATATCGTAACTACTCATCAGGACACGGATCTGGATCAATTAGTAATTAAGTTTTAGGTCGTTTTAATTCGTATATACTGTTACATAAATAAATTACTAATATGTGATTATTTTAAACTCTTTTGTTCCGTATTTGTTATGTAAGTATTTTATTACATATCAAAAACAAAATATATAAAATAAATATAAAAAATATTTACACATATCAAATGTTTGCACAAATCAGATGCCAAATATTTTTTACAGTTTTTTTATACTTAAAAACTTACACATATTAGTTCATAGTAGAATTTATACGCCCAGAGAAATAACATTTCTCCTAATTATAAATTGAATTAATTAAGATAGTCTTCGTATAATTTTAATTTAATCATATATTTGTATTTGATTTCCATTTGATGGAATATATTCAAAAATTTTCACGTGATTATATCTTTATATGATACACTATAGCTTGATACTCGTGTTTCGCTACGGGGTATGTATATATAACTACTTTAAATAAAAAAACCAAGTTGATATCTCAACGGGCCTAAGAGATATTGAAGAGAATCCGTGAAAACACATTTTACCTCTTTTCACTCCCTTAGAGTCGAATTTCTAAAAATCCCTTCTCACTAGGTACTTACGTCATGGAAGAAATATGCTCCCCGAATTTCATGTTTATAGGTTTAGGAGTTTGGGCTGTTGATGAGTCAGTCAGTCAGTCAGTCAGGACATTTGTTTTTATATATATACAGATAGATAAAACTTTCAGGAATTTTAATTATGTTCTATGCATATCGTACATTAGTAGTGACTGAAAGATATCGTTTATCGTATTATTTTTACTTAATTTGACATTAGATTTATTATTTCGCTTGGTTCTCATAAAATTGTCTTTTATTTTCTGCCTTTTATTTGCCTCTATTCACTCATCTTGCGTGTACGTACAGAGTGTTTAAAAAAAAAGTGTTCCATATTTTGAGAGCAGGTAATACTCACAAAATAAAAAGAAAATGTCCAATAAACATAGGTCTCTCTCTTAAATTAAATGCCTGTTATATAGACCAAACTTTAACATACACTATAAGAGGTCTTCTACGTGTTCCCATTTATTTTCACACATTTTAAATAAAGAAAATACAAATTCCTACACTGTTTGTACGTCGTCGATACCTGATAATGACGAACCTTACTGTACTCTGCAGAAATAACACGAATAATATAAAAAGAGGGCAATGCTTATCATTTAAAGACTTTAGTATATTCAACACCCAATCGATGACGTACAAACATTGTAGCAATGTGTATTTTTTTATTTAAAATGTGTATGGCAATAAATGGAATCCACATAAAACACCTCCTATAGTATTATAGCATACAATAAAGATTGATCATTGATCCATATCTCAATAGGTATTTGATTTAGGACCCATGTTTACTGGACATTTTCTTCTTATTTTGACGAGTACTACCTGCTCTCAAAATATGGGACACTTTTTTAAACACCCTGTGTATGTATACATTATTTGCGTATACATATATGAATATATTATTTGCCTAGTCATACGTTTTGCTATACGTTTTTTATAGG